CCCCCCCGGGTCCACACACCATGCCTGCCTGCTCCCAAAAGACAGTCTGCTTCTGATTATGTGTGATCATCCTCAAGCTTGCCAGCTACTTTTCAGATTCAGAGTCTTTAAAAAAAAAAAAAAAAACTGGACCTAACTCAAAAGGAGCTAGAGAGACTCTTGTAGAGTGCATCCTCATGCCAAGACCAATGCCCTGTCTGTTTTATAGAAATTGATCTGGAGTCTCACTAAAATTTAATGGGTTCTTCCTTTGCCACGTGCCACCTCTTCATCAGGTTTCATGGAATTCTGTTCGGTTGCTTTTGCACAATGTTGCTGACGGACAAGAAGGCAAACCAACATCGAATCAAACATGCAACAAACACTGTGGAAAACATACTTTTCCTGCTCCATCAGTAAAGAAACCTTAGAGGAGAGTTCATCCAAGGCATTGCTAAGCATGCCCATGGCATCAACACACAGTGATATCACTATCCCATATGCACTCCTTGTCTTTACAATTGCTTAGATGCTTACATTGAAATGTCTAAGGCTTAAGCTTTAAAGTTATACATAATGAAGTTTGTGACTGCTTTGACAAACAGGTGGTTGTATCTGCCAGCTTTCTCTAAGACATCATCATCTTTCATCTTAGATGATTAGAGACGCTGAACTGGACACCTGGGTTGTGCTTACAAAGTCATTTGAAGGAGTTTTGGAACAAATACCCGTGTAGTGTCCAGAGTGAAATTCTGCTGGCTATTATTTCATTTAAATGCAACCCCTGATTACTAGAGATTAAGAAGACATGGAAGTCAGAGATAACTGACCTAAAGTCTGTGACAGAATTTAGCAACAACGTCATTGTTGTTGCTAAATTCTGTGATTTAATGGTGGTGATTTAAATACAAAACTTTCACTGCTTTTTAATGAGAGGTGATTTACCCAGTAAACTCTCTGTACATTGCTTTGCTAAGTTCTGGTAGTTTTTATATAAAAAATGTCCCAACATTTACCACATGGTTCTTCTCAGCATAGCATCTATGAAATACAGTACCTATAAAATGAGTAATAATTTCGGAAGAATGTAATTTAAAGTAGTATGGGAAATAGTATGTATCAATGGTGCACTATAATATTTATCTATGTGGAAAATTATAATAAAGTTTTTTTTTAAATATGGATTTTTTTAAACAATGACTACTAAGCAGTGACCAGGTTACTGAGAAATACGTAGATAATAACTTGACTGCCAATGTAAATGGGAAAGGCCATAATAATCATATGAATATATATATACAATATGATGTTTTGTTGCTGTAGGATACCCCCATCAACTCCACTACCCAAACTTAGGTAACATCTCACAAGTAAAGTAAGTTTATCCATAGAAAAACATGGGACAAAGACTGTGTGCCGTCATAACAGATAACAGTGAAGAACTACCCAATGTGGTTTGCTGATAAGAGGGGCTACAGTGGGATTTAAGTAAGAAAAAGAAGAAAACTTCTGAAATCCCTCGAAAACAATCTGAGCCTCCAGCAGCTGAAGGAAATGAATACTCGCTGCGATTGTTTTGTTGGCTAATTTTATCATAAAAATGTGAAGAACGGACCTCTTGTTGACACAACGTTAACCTTGTGTGTGGGCTTTCATTCTCTTTCACTCTCTCTCTCTCTCTCTCTCTCTCTCTCTCTCTCTCTCTCTCACTCTCTCACACACACACACACACACACAAACACACACAGGCACACAAACACACACACACCACACCTCCCACCTCCTCCGCTGGGATCCCAGGATGAAAGACATCATCAGGCGGTCCAGGAGGTTGCAGAAGCCGGCAGCGTCAACCCTCAATGGGCGGCGCACTGACGGGAGGACGGAGGGTGTTTTCCAACTTTAAAAGCACAGGAGCCGGCCCCTCCGACAAACCGCTCTGCGTCACAGACCTGTGGACATTCTTTAAAACCTTCATTGGGTCGAAGAGAGCAAAACTCACCTCAACCAGCGTCCCTTTAGCAGCCGTACCTGCGCGGCTCTCCTAACCCCCTGCTCCCGTTTCCTTTGGTGCGCAGTTCATCGCCGTGTGGTTCAAAGTTGTACACTCGATTTCCAACGAGTCTTTTTGCGAAATATGCTCCTGTTTAGTCGTTTGTCTAGAGAATCAGTGGTGTTTTGAATACTCTCATTGCACATTACAGCCTCGCAGCCGGTGAAAGTTGCGCATCGCTTGTTGAATGCAGGATACCTTTTGCCTGAGCGTCACTTCCAAGTTCAGCTTTGGAGCAGCAACCGGCAAGGAGCGGGGACTCCAGTTACTTACTTCTCTCGCCGCCGATATGAAGTCTGCAGAAGAAGGTAAAGAACCCTACATGACTGCGCATCACCAGCACTGTACCCCTATATACATACATATATGTATACATATGTATTACCTCGCTTTAGCTGTTTTTTTTTATTTAAAGATGTATCGACACCAGGTGCTGCAGTTAATGCAAACTAATGGAGAGCGCATCAGGGCAAACTCGGGGTTAATCCTTCTGTGAGATAATATTACTGAGAGCTGTCACTGCATTATACCCTCATATTTTAAGAACTTAAAATAGTTTATAGACGTTTGCAAATTTATAGACGTCTTAAATTATTGTCTAAGCGTTTGTTTTGGTAAATATGTTTAATTATAACAAGCTAAAAATATCAAATTCTAAAGAAACGTTTTGGCCTTTTTGATGGTGTTACGATTTACCTCCCCTTGTTCTATTTTTAAAAAAACAACGCACAAAACAACACGCAAGTAATACACAAGCAGCAGATAAGCTCAGTTTACATGCACACCATTAGGTGTCTCCAGCTATCTTTGCAGGTGCTTCTCATTATGTGCAGTGAAATATGATGGGGGTTACGCTGTTGCTGTCACCTGCAGTCTTTGTTAAGATCTTCATGTCAATTTCTCTACTTTACTTCCTTTTAAAAAAAATAAATAAATAAATAAAAATTGAAATTTTTCTCCAAATGAGCCAAGTGAGATGTTAAAGTTCAGGGTCAGATAGCCCAGAGGCTGCTAAATATTATTTGCTTTCCCATGCAATCAAAAGCAAACTCTCTATTTATAGCTTTGTGATTCAGATTGAGAGGGCAAAATCTGATCACAAGTCACTTATAGCCTTAATTCATAGTGGTGATATCACTGGCTTTTGTTGGATTTCAGGAATTTAATTTTGTCTCTGAGGTTAGAGAGGGACGGGTGCGGGCGGTATTATTATTCAGTTCAGTCCCTTGATACTAAGCTTTATAATTTGTAACAGATGTGCGTGTATATACATGTGTTTGTGAGTAATAGGGAGCACTGTGATCTGTGCATGCAGGGATGCTGGGGTAGCTTGCTTGACAAGGAGACGTGCTTAACCACACACAGCTCCAGCAGTGTGGCGAGGGCTGCTTTAGTGTCACACATAAACTCAGACACGCAGACACTCAAACGCGAGCACACAGATGCACACAAACACACACACACAGACCATGCTGGTGTTCTGCCATAGCTCATACTCAGCCATGTGCGATAAGTGGCCCCAGAGTTCTTAGTTCCAGAGGCTGCAGATGACTTTTGTGGGCGACCACCTATCTCTCTATGAGGTCCCGTCACTCTTAGCCCAGCCTAGACCACAATGCCTGCGGATAAACCCGTCCATTCTTTAGTCAGACTAGTTTGGTTGTAGGGAGAGAATGTGTTTTGATCACAATAGCATAATTGGAAAAAAATTGGGGAGTGCAAAGAGAGCACGCTATAATTTGTGTTTTCAAATTAAATCTGCTTGCACTGCATTTTCAGCACATTGCAAACAACCGGGGAGGCACTGCCTCTTGTTAGTGACTCATTTTGATTTCTCTTTTACTCGCTTCACCCCAACAAAATCTGATCTGCTTTCCCAATTTTGTTATTCGGCAGTTGTGATGCGTGTCACCCGGAAAAGCCAAGTTTCAAGATCATGCAGCAAACAAGAGTGAAAGCCCTAGTGTGTTTGAGTGGGTGTTAGAAGAAGTGAAGTGTGCTGCAGCGCAGTGCACTGATCACACACATTCAAAAGGAAGGGGGAAAAAAAAACAGCCGCAACTGTAAGCAAAGTCAGTCAGGCCTGAACTGAGGAGGTGTGTCACAAGGGCTAGAGTGGGCAGGAGATTATCATCTGTTCAAAGCAGAGAAAAAGAGCATCAGCGAAGACTGAGCTGAATGCTCACTCGCCCTTACTTTGAAAGACTACGATGAGTGGTGCAGAAATGAGTTTTCAGCATGAAGAGCAAGAGTTTGATTTCAATTACATTTTTGAGTACAGCCAAGGTGTCCAGAAGGAAGGGGAGAAAGGTGCGTACTGATCTGCTATTATGACATTGTAATTCTGTGAAGTAGGCTCTAAAGGGGTTTGACATTTAGCCTCTTCTAACCCCGTATAAAAAGTAACTTTTCCAAGTCTGTAGGTTTAGTGAATAAATGTGTCTTATAGTTTTCAAAAGGACGACTTCAATTTAGTTTGGGTGTTTGTCACAATACATGCACATCTCCTGGAATATTAAACATGTCCTCCGCACGTAGTGTTACTACCTCTGAAAATAGAGTCTCATAAGCTAATTTTACCTTGCCTACCCACATATTTTATGTTATGTGACAGATCTGTCATTTCATGTGATACGCAGTATTGTGGTTAACAAATATCGTATGGTTCAGAGAGGGGAATGCCCTTTGCTGGGTTTCAGACTGAATGGTTTTATTTCTGTAGCTATTTTTACCCTCTTTGACGTTATCAATAAAAGGCAGGCGTGAGGTTTACAACTGTTGACACAGCAGCCACCCGTGTCAAGGCTAAATGAAGAGGCATGCCTGCCTTCCAAGCTATCTGGGCTCTATATTGTTGCACTGGACGTGATTTCCTTTTGTACCTGCCTGCACTTGTCCTCTGTTTATGTGTGTACCGGTGGTGTATCTGTGTGTAGCGCAAAAGCAAACTCTCCTTGACTTAATCACATGCTCAGAGCGATGCGAGAGTGCTGTCAGTTTTCCACAGGGGAGGGCCTAATTCACTCAGTGAGTGATGCAATCAATCAAATAAAGCATCCATCAGTGCTGCTGGAGGAATTCCTGTAGAGTACATATGACAGCAGGGTGTGCCAAATAAAGCCTTAGATGAACTGATCAAACAAACAGAGTGGCTGCTCGACTTGCGACTACACAGCAGCCTCATACAGTAACCGCTTTGAGATGATTGCTAAGCTTCTCCAGATGTTTATAAAGAAGTGGGCTAGTCAGAATCTGAAAAACATACTGGGGAGATTTGTGTAGGGGTATTGTTCTTAAATGTGACCAGTTCTAGAAATTACATTCCCTCGCAGTTAGGCTATAGTTTTCTCCAAAATTACGTTTAGTCATATTGTGTTTCACAAATACATTTTTTTCTTCAACATGTTTTCTCAGTTTATTTTTTACCAAGAAGTTTTGCATTCATCCCTGTGGTATTTCAGAAGACTGGTTAACATTGCAAAACATGACAAATTCAATTCAATTCATTTTTATTTGTATAGCACCAAATCAAAACAACAGTCACCTCAAAGCTTTTAATATCATAAAGTAAAGACTCTGCAATAATAAAGAGAAATGCCAACAATCAGACAAACTCCTTTGAGCAAGCACTCGGCGACAGTGGGAAGGAAAAACTCCCCCTTTAGAGGAAGAAACCTCTGGGAGAAACAAACACGGAAAGCCTAAAAACAGTGACAACAGCAGCAGGGACAGACACAACTGAGAGGGAGCATGAATACATCAGAAATAGATTGTATAGATTGAAATGGAGGAGCTGAGGCAGAGGTGGCTTTGCAAAGTGACTTCACAGGCAGCTGCGACTTTATGCAAGATGAGGTAGTTTAAATAACATGTTCTATTTGAGATTTCCCAATAAGATGGGAATTAACTTAGCTATCCTCTGATTTGCTCTGGAAAGTAACACATATTTGTGATTCTCTGTTTCTTAAATATACTTCTTATTTTTCAGATGCATACAGCTACACACCAAACGTCAGCCTGTCTCTTCCTCTGGGTATGGGCAGCCCCTGTCTGGCCACTCAGTACCATACCTTACAGTCCAGTCCAGTCATCTCAGTTTCCTCTTGCCACCAGACGGGATACAGCAGTGACAATCATGCAGCATCAGGTTATTATCTGCCGCACAGCTTGAGACCCAATGGTGCTCCAGCCCTGGAAAGCCCCCGCATTGAGATCACTGCCTACAGCCAGTACCCTGAGGATGAGGTTGAAGAGAGCAGCAGTGAGGACCACATCGTCAAACGGGGGGTCAACTCCATTGTCACACTGACGCTCCCCAATGCAGAGGGGTACCGTGATCCCAGCTGCCTCAGCCCTGCCAGCAGCATTTCGTCACGCAGCTGCAACTCTGAGGCGTCGTCCTATGAGTCAGGGTTCTATAACTACGACAACTCCCCGCAGAACTCCCCCTGGCAGTCTCCCTGTGTTTCTCCCCGAGGATCATCCATGCTTCTGTCATGCCCACATGCCAGTGGCCCCGCAGGGTCCCCTCACAATTCACCATCCACCTCCCCTCAAATTGGAGCCGTGGCTGAGGAAGGCTGGCCGGCACAACCTCGTGGCTCTAGACCAAACTCCCCTTCCTACAGTGGAGGCGGTGGAGGCGGTGGAGGCAGCGGTGGCAGCATGGGGAAGAGAAAGTACAGCTTCAACGGCACCTCCTACCATCAAACGCCCTGCTCACCCAACCAGTCAGCGACACCCTCTCCCCATGGCTCCCCCAGGGTCAGCGTTACGGATGATAACTGGCTTGCCAACACCAACCAGTACACCAACTCTGCCATCGTGGCTGCAATCAATGCTCTAACCACAGATGGGGTGGTAGACATGGGGGAGGGAATCCCAGTCAAGACGCGGAAGACGATGCTGGACCACTCAGCCTCCATGAGTCTGAAGGTGGAACCTGGAGGCGAGGAGCTTGGTCCTGATGGAGACCTCTGCCACGAGGACTACCCCTCCCGCCTGGCCCTCAAGAAGGAGAGCTACTGTGGGGGGTTCCTGGATGTGCCTCAGCACCCATACTCCTGGTCTAAACCCAAGCCTTACCTCAGGTAGGCTGAACCAGCTCCTGCTGTCTCAAATAAATTTAGTAATTCTCTATCAAGTACAGTCTAAATGTTCAGAAATTGAAATAGCCAGCAATTTTGCCAAACGAAAATTGTCTACGTGTCTCTGCTTAAGACAGAATTATGATCCTAACGCTTGGTCAGGATTTTCTACATATTACTATTCATCACATTTCATCAATTCCATTTCTCCATTGTTCTCTTTTTCCCCACATTTATAATGTTTTTTATTTATTGTGAGAACAAGATGGTTTTAGTTTTTAATCTTCAAAAGGCAGAGATTCCAATTTACATGCCCTTCACTTCCAAAGGAGTTCCCTTTGAAGATCAGAACTATTTCATAAATCGTATTTCACATTGAGGAGTTGCCCAGCATGCATGTGCCGCCGTTGCCATCGCAACCCTCACACAAATATAACAACGAATACAGTCACACATGCACACACTCAGACAAATAGACTCTTGCAGTGAACAATAGTATTGATTTTTGTCAATTGGGCAAAGCGGGGTTTTTTTTCTTTTTGTTCCCTTGTGGTATTCCCCCCTCCCCCCCCCCCTCCCCCTTAAGCCAATAACACACTTTCCTGTCGGAAATCAAGTGTTTGATTAAGATACTGAGCAACAGGAAGCAATGGTGACAGGGCTGGCTGAAGGGGAAGCAGCCTGTGAGTTAATCAGCCGGCGCGCTCCACTGGTTTGTCGCGCCATCGGCCCATCTTTTCTCTGTGTAGCTAAAGTGATGTCATGCACTGAATAGGCAGATAAAGTCCTGCGGGGGGAAATCAGTTCATTTTGGGTCAACAAACAGCCCGCAAGTTCCACAAAGATGCCAGAGATTGGTTTCAGTCGAGCCACTCTTCAGGTCAGGGGTTTGCGTTTACCAGGCATCCGGCAAAGAGAAATATTGTCTTGCACATGTTTGTTTTGGTTTAGATATCTCCACGGTGTTCACATGGGAAGCTTTGACTCCCCATCAGGAGAACAATGATGTTGAGGGAGGCCAGCTGTAGCTCTGAGAAAGAGATATCATGCTCCCAGGCAAGGTGTGTGGCTGACCTTGTTCCATAACACCATTGTCTTCAACACCAGCTTTTTGTATTTTAGAATTTTACAGTTATCAATTTAAAATTGAATTATATATACATACATATATATCTATATATACATATGTGTGTGTGTGTGTGTGTGTGTTAAAAAAGCTGCCTGACTGCCAGGCGGTGAGAGATTTGTTTTTGTGCCCCAGAACTGTCTTTCCTCCCACTGTCACTTTCTTAACTCGCTGCGTCTTTTTCCACCTGCCACACCATAATGCAAAACATGCTGCGCTCTAACCGGGGCACATTTGTCTCTCATTTATTTTTCACAAAAAGAAAGAAAAAAAGGGGGGGAAAGCGGGGGCCACTAATTATTACCCAGACCCAAGGAATTACACGCAGTCGGGGGATGACTTCAATTGATTAGATTAGAGACCATGATGAAATGGAGAGGGCTCAAGCCAGTTGGATTACAACAAAGTGTCCCAATTTCAGGCTAATTTAAAGCAAGTTTAGTTTAGATTCAGACTTCTGGATCCTTGGAGGAAAAAAAAATATGGTAGTTCATACTTTGGCAAATTAGATGAAAACCAAAATAGAGAAAACAGAATGTACATAAAAAGACAATCATTTACCATATGTCTTCATTTATTTGTTCCAAGCAAAGTGGAAACGTATAACTCACTGTTCTTTCAGGAAAGAAAAAGCCAGACACTGGGGGTTTTAGCCCAGAAAGGCAAAATCTTTGGACCGTGTAAATGTGAATTCACTATCCTGTTGAAAGGTGGGAATGATACATAGCTTTATTCTCACCTAATAACAATCAATGTGTCATGTAATTACAGCCCATCTTTGCCAGCACTTGACTGGCAGCTTCCATCCTGCTCCGGCCCTTACAACCTACAGATAGAAGTGCAGCCAAAGTCCCACCACAGGGCCCATTATGAGACTGAGGGGAGCCGAGGAGCCGTGAAGGCCTTGTCTGGAGGACACCCTGTGGTACAGGTATGCTGCCAGCACTAATGTTCAAACAACAAATGCTGCTGCTGTGCACTTTTGTATTTACCCAGAGACAAAGTTAGCTTTGTAGTTTTAGACTGTGCAATAATTTGCTGTCATTACAGCATGAGAGGTAACAAGTGCATGCTGATTAACAGCAGTTTTCTATCCAACGCCAATCTGGTGACATGAATGTCTGGCTGTTGCTTATTTTATGACAGCATGTAGTCGCAGAGCAAAGTCAACACAGCCCTGACATTTCTTTCATTAGTCACAACATTGATGTTCGTTTGCTTTTTTTTTTTTTCTCTCTCTCGACGAAATCAGATTTGGTTGGTTAGACTGTGTTTAAATACAAACTACTGTATGCGACTGCTGCTCAAACCATCCAGAAATGATTAGCTACAGTAATCTTTTAATGCTGTTTTTGGCAAATCAGATTACAAATATTGGAATAATGAGTATGAGTTGAGCACAGTGCCTCTGTCTGTTAAGATTAAAATGGATCTATTATGATGACTTTCAGCTCTAGACACCACTAAAATGGATTTGCAAGATTCACAGGCAGTGAACCCTGGTACGGCCCCCCAGTTTACTCAGTATATGAATCAAGCTGTTTTAGCTAACTTCCCTCTGCTTTTGACCTCCCATTCGCTGCCCGTTGTAAACAGAAGGCTTTGAAGAGCAGATGGATGGAGCTTCTGCACTTACAGATCATTTTATATGTCATTACACAACCAAAGAGTATAAAATGGCATTACAAATGAGGTCACTCTATTCTACACACAAACCACATGCACAGAGATAAAAAAATAATAATTAAATTTGTCTCCCCAGTCAGCTAGCTTAAAAAAATGCAGGCCTTTCTTGTAACTTCTGACAGCAGCTGTGCAGCACTTGCACATTGCAGGCTGTATATCTCAGCATTTTCTTGTATGCTGCGTTTTTAAATGTTCCCTAAAGCTGACAGTGAATCTGCTGCTGTAATAAGTCACTCTGACCAGCAGCGGTGCATGCTGACTGGAGGAGAACCATCGCCCCTCGCTATTGTATTTGGCAAACACTTAAGGAGCACACGTCAGTCTCACCAGCGGCACAGCACAGAGCTCCTTTCTCAGCTCCGCTGTCATCACGCTGTGCTGACATCTCAGTTTACACAAGGTGGGGATTTAGTCGTGTGTGCATGTCCTTAAGGTAAACTTGTCTTTGAAGCAGCTTATTTGCATTTAAACTATATCTATCCTACTAACTATATGAATATTTGCTGGCTCTGTCAGAGAAGGGATTGAATAGTTTTAGATGGCAGATAGCCTGCTTTCCATGCAGCTAGACTCTGCAAGCCTAAAAAAACACACAAAAAAAGTTCCTGGAACTATAAAGTTTAATTGGTGGTCCATCCTTAGCTTTAAATGTTGTTAGCGCCGCAGCTATTTTGTAAATAGATGTTGTCAGCACACCCTGGTCTGCACAATGTCAAATGCATTTGACAGCTGTTGGCGAATGTTGTGTTATAAAGACGCCTGTCAACCTGCAGGTTTTTTCTGTAAATACAGGTAATTATTCCCCTTCTTTACAAGCCTTTGAATATCAACATGCAGGTGAATCAACACTTTACCCCTCACAGTTCACTGTGCTACAGTAAGAGGCCCAGCAGACTCAGGCTCGTTTTGATTTCAGGTCACGACAATTTCTGACTTGCTCTCTCCCGGGGGCCGAATAGGAACTCATAAATAACACTCCTGAGTGTCTTTACACGTGGCCCTGTCAATATTCACGCTCATGATTTGATTCTGTTATTTAAAATCGCCAACATTCTGAGGATATTCCCAACCCTCGCTGAGCGCCCTGACCAAATATTAGATGAAAATACGATGACAGATGCTTTTCCATCACACCTGCTTGCTTGCTCACATGCCTCACATTTTCTTTTCTTGGTGAGGAGTGATTTATGACCCCGATATTGCCTGTGCAGTCAATTGGGATATCTTGAGGGTTTCATAACAGTGGAAACCACTCCGAGCATGGCAGTTGGCAGGAAGATGAATCTATGAGGATTAGGCAATCATGTGTACATGCTGGAGGGTAAAGGATAGAAGAAAAATGTGGTGTTTTTTTTGTTGTTGTTTTTTTAAAACCTGACTTTTTTACTCCTAAGCACTCCCTTTGTCTTTGTTGTGGTGATGTGAAGAAATTGTGTTGTTACAATCTCGGAGGATAGGGCGCGTGGTGTAGTCCCCAGTGCCCTGAGGTAATGAGTGGCAGGCACTGGATGGGTGAAGTGCAGTCAAGGAGAATGAGTCAATAATGACACAAGGGCACGAGTGTAGGAAGAAGCTAAGGCAGTGTGTGTGTGTGTGTGTGTGTGTGTGTGTGTTCTTCATGATTCTTGAGACTGGAGAGAAGGAAAGAGAAGGGGCAGAGGGAGTCACCAGGCAGCTGTGGCTTGGCTTGCCTGCCCCAAGAGATGCTCTGTATCCTGCTGATTAGGACCTGAGTAGCCCTGAGGTTGGCTAAGCATGACAGTGGTGCACGGGAGTCAGTACCCATCAGAGGCCACCTCCTCTTTCCATGCACCGGTGCCTCTCTGCCTCCCTGGTGGGCCCGAGGCTGTCACTCCCTGTGAACCGTTCATCCTTCAACCATCTCCCAAATCCACACCAGCAGGCCTACCTCGGTTAAAACCTAGCCATCTACAACTCTATTGTTTTTTTAGGTCATGGATGATCAGACACACGTGCTATGAGCAATGGTGACATGTGTATTGGAAAGCAGTTCTGGATGAATCCCCCACCCAAAAAAAAGAAAAGGAAAAACAGCAAGATGATGAAGAACATACAGGGATACACAGGTTCCACACTGACAAAGTACTCCGTAGAGAGAGCGGCTAATATACAGTGAAACCAAGACGCTCGTGTGCACATTTACTGCTGTCTTGTTTTTCCTTGACACACCGAGGTGTTTATGTGATGGGTGGTTGCACAGAGAATGGAAGGTCTTTGCTCCAGTCATACGCCAATGAAAATCCTGGCTTACCATGACTCCCTAGCCTTTCACCATTTGCACCAACTCGTCTCATCAATTTCCATTCCAAATCAAGGTCATCTATTCTGAAGTCAGACTCCAACCCTACCTCCTCTCCTCTGCATCTCCAGCCTTTTAACCCCCTCTCTCATCACCGGTCCACTCTGTGACCCCCGCTGCTGCTTTTCCACTTTACTTACTGCATCAGACCACAACACCATTAAGGGGATCTAGGGTACTCTAACAGTTCCTCTCACACTCTTCCAGACTTTCCCCCTTGCTTTACCACAGCTGTGTTTAATGTCTGAAGCCGTGCTCAGGAAAAACCAACAACTTGGTCTACCTTTACTTAAAATATAACCACAACACTGATTTATTTGGTTGTTTGTTTCTTCTTTTAACTGAGCAGACCATTCAAAAAAGACAACTGCAATTGTAAAGTTTTCATTGACAATAGAGTGACCGATCTAACATTAGTTCAGATCAAGATATTGCAACAGCTTTCAAGTTCAACCACAGACAGGAAAACAGACATCCGCCAGGCCCTTGGTAACAGCAAACAACACCTGTGGAGAATTAAACCTGTCCTGCAGCACATAGAGCAGAATTGCTTATGGCTAATTCATATAGGATAATCACTGGCCTTTAGGGCTTTCACCCCCCACACACATACAAGCACTTTCTCATTAAGTTTAAAGCAGTAACACACATGTTGTAATTTCAGGATGTGGCCTTCATCCCTATTAACGTGTGCGTGACTTAATACTCATCTCTCTTCCTCTGCAACTTTATGTAATGCTCATCAAATTTGCAGTATATTTCCGCCATGATGACATGAAAGACTTAAGCAAACACGTGCTCGGGTTTTTCGCATGTGCGGTTTCACTTTGGGATCTGGTCCTTGCTGGCTGCGTAATGTCTCAAAAGAAGAACACCCTGATCTACAGCACTCCATACTGTAGCTGCTAATTGCTCATTAAATCTACCGCCGCCTTATGTTTGATATTCAAAAGGATTGGTGTACCCTGTAGTGCTGTTAGAGCTTAGTCAAGGCTATTATTTACTGCCCAAAGGGGCATTTATGCCACTCTCAAATTGTGGTTCTCCATCTGCAGGGCTTCCCTTGCACTGGTATTGGGCTGCCACTAATTACAAGTTAATAACAAGTGGAAAAAGTTGAGGGATGTGTACATCGTTTTCACTGGTTTGAGGTGACAACCAAACCGCAGATTTATGAGGTAAGATAAGAGTGGGTAATCTGGCTACTTAGGGGCATAGCAGTGATCTGTGCATCATCCTGCACAAATTTTCTGTAGGCTTTAATGATGGGTCTTATGAATGGCTGATAAAATCAAAATTTAAAAAAATGTTATTTGACATAAAATTTGGACCTTTAGTAGTCTAGACATGGGCCTGTGCTCAAAGCTACACCCTCAATACTCAAAGTATTAGTAAAAAAAATAAAAACTTTAAAGGATATAGCTGTTTGGTTGCTTATAAAAGTTGCAGCATGTGAAGCCATGGAAACAGTGCACATTAAAGGATTGCATATGTTGCGTTATGCATTCAATATGAGACACGGGAGACATTAGAGGGTCAGGGGGGCGATGGAGTAAAGTCTGGAAGGAGAGACAGCGTGGATGAGTGTACGTCTAATTGGGTACAGCAAAGGCTGGCTGGTGTGAGTGTGTCAGCACTTGACAGAGAGGAGAGCGTGATAATGGGAAAAAGCCTGCATCTGCTGTTGTAGTTCTCCTCCCCCCTCAACCCCTCCTCTGCTGCTTCCAGTTGTCTTCTCCCTCTCCCCCCCGATTCTCTGCGCCACGTGGACTTCTACGAGTCATGACATTTCTCCAGGCGGTGATGAAATCACCGCAGAGGGATAGAAGGCAGCCTTCGCTGCGGGGCCTGTGAAGTGTATTCACACTCAATTTCTAGCCAGGCCAGACAAATCTAATTTACCACCAAGTCATTATTAAACTTTAAATGTTCAAATCCCCACTTTGAATGGTTGCAGCAGCATTAAGAATGTCACTTTTACTAAAGAAGCTGGAGGATAAAATCCACTGTGAAAAATACATTATATTTATTGGAATAAAAACACTCTCTGTCGCTATTTGATCACATGTGACTTTCATTGAGTGAAGCAAATAAGAAAATGGGGGGGGGAAGAAAGAAAAGAAATAAACTGGGGCTGTCTCCCAAGGACTAAAGCTTTCTGTATTGCTGATGGAGCTGAGAAGACCCAAAGGCAGATGGGAGCTGAATGGCGGTGAGCACCCAGAATGTGCCCTCCTCTTCTCTATTTATCATCACAACTGACCTAGACAATACAGCTGCACACTATTATGCAATTAATGCCTCAGCTGCCATGGTCGCGATGTTTTACTTGAGCGTCGGCTCAGAAATCGGTTCATACAACAAGCTGACACAGTGGCAAAAGCTGGCACCGGGAACAACTGCCTCAATGTAAGACTGGTTTCAGTGAATGATCTCAAAATAAACATATAGTGAGCGTTCAGCCCGATGGGCCATATTTTACAGCAAGAAGAAGGTCATCTGGTCAAAATTAGTGTCTCTCTAACAGACAGCGTCAGACACAAATGCAAAGCTGAGGTCGCAGGTGTTTAAGTTCTGTCTACACAGTCTTGACTCCCCCTGTCTTAATTCCCACTTTGAGAATAAAATGAAGAAGTGAATTTTTCACTGTGCGTGTGGCGTGCAGTTGAGGGAGCATCGCAGGAGTTTAGCAGAGGTGAAGGAGTGGGATGGGGGGAGACTGTAGCGAGAGGGTCAGGGGAGCACATATGGTAAAGGAATTGAGTGAGGTCGCTCAGGGGGGATCACGCTGCCTTCGTTTGCTGCTGGGAAGAGCAGCGTCACCGCGAGGACTACCTGACCTCATTAATCACTTCCTCCTTTTGAGCGAGGATGCCGCCGCCATTGCCGTGCGCCACAGCAGGATGAGAGGAGCGAGAACCTCCTCTACCTCCTGCTTCTTTTGTGGCCCTCGCCACGTGGCGGCTGAGGTAATGTTTTGGAGGTCAAAGAGAAATCCAAAGAAGTCCATCGCCGCAGATGACACGGGTTTGTAGTGCGACTGCCAGCGTTTTATTAAATCACAAGGCAACGTCATGCAATTTAACGCTCCGATGTTTCAGATTTGTACCTCATGCTCCACCGTGGCCCTCCTCTGATTCAATGCGCCCGTAACTGGTAGCATGTGTGGCTATGGATAATTACTTCTGGTGACACCATAAGTAAAATATAACAAGGGAACAGCGTCTGCCGGTGAGATCACTCTATAGATGAAGTGGTCCCTTGAGATGCCAAGACTTCAAGAAGCTCCTGACCTCGGCCTAACTCACTGATGACTAGCATGTGTGACTAGCTCCAGGTCAAGACAGCTGCTAGAGACACTATGGGGAGCTCAAAAGAAAAAATATGATGGTTGGAACTGGAGATGAATGACAGCCTTAGTCTTACCACTCCCTCTGCACTCCCTCGATATCTGAATCAAAGACCGAGCCAGATAACCACCGGTGCTTAGGTTATTGAAGCATATGGATATATAATCTACTCCCGTGACTGGTCATATTCTATTCCCATTCAAGATAATTAATAATGAAAATTGTGTAACCACAAAGAGCACATCCTCTGCCTTGTCTTGCATCCAGCAGAGCTGTCATCAAGTGCCGACCAAGGCCATTTAATCCTTGTCTTTATTATGAGACCAAATGACTTTTGATTCTGTATCCAGACAAATCTGCTCTCAAATCAAAGGCCTTAGGTGTCAATGACACTGTGGTACTAATTTCCACAGACACCCAATCAGGTTCAGAATAACTTTCCAGTCTTATACCAGTCTTGCTCTTCTTTACACCACCCCCACCCCCCCAATTCCTGCCTGCCCTCTCAAAGGTAATTATAAACCCATTAATCAGATTATGTCATAGGTTACATGTGGTCTTCATTTCATTATATGACTCAGTCTGTTAGATAAACAACAGGGGTCTTTTATTCCATTTGACGTTACCACTGTTTTCACTCGGATGGAGCTCAAACAAAATTGGTCTGAAGCGGTGCGCTGGAGTAATTGACCAATTTGTGGGATTTTTCAGATGGTCATGGCTTGTTGAGCCTTGGTCTTAAGTAACTGATCCCTCACAGTAAACGTCACATGCGGTCAAGTAGCCACCTGGGTGGATCTGTGGAGGTCCACCCGATCAGAAGTTAGGCTTTTTGGGGTTTTATGTATACCAGATGGATTCAGCGGCTTCTTGATAGTGTTTAGGTTTGGAGAGATTTCTAAGCCATAGGAACAATTTGCATTACAAAGAGAAACTATATCCTGGGAGGTCTATGGTGTTAAGACTCGGCCACGCTAGAAATAACTTGGTTAGTGGATTATTCTGGTCAGAAATCATTCACAAAGTATCAGTTGCCCTTCACCACATCTTGGAATTTAAAGCATTGCCTGCATTTGAATGTTTTTGAGCCATTACACACTTGGTTAAATGATCGAATGATGTTACTTTAGACACAGACAGAAAATTATACCGGGACATTGAATTTAAATTGACAGTTACAGTTTATATTTGAAGTACATTTAAACCCAAATTCAACAGTGTGCACAGGCATGGATTATTTTTCCTTTTTTTTTGAAGATTTGATCTTTTTATTAGCTAAGCAGTAGCGGCTAATGGCAGGCTGCTAGAGGAAGTGGTAGTTGTTTGAAGTGGTGGTTCTGATACAGGAGTCTCTTTCATCACAGTGGGACACAGTCTGCGCGCTTTAATGGAAATCATAATGCATGTTCATAACTGCCCAAAGGTAAAGGGGCTGGAACACGTCTGCACTCCCTGCTTCATGAGCATTCAGGCGTAAAGTTTTAATAAGTTTAATAGCTAACTGTGTGTTGATAATCGGCACAGAAAAACCATTGATTTGTACTTTTTATTTATTTATTTTGAACAGTTTAAGTAAGAGTTTGAGTTTTGATTTCATCTATTTGATGCCCTCCGTTATACTGGAAACATTTTCCCAGTCATCTCCTTAAGTATCAGCTGTGAAACTTTTATCAGTCTTTGTCTCTGTGTTTCCTGCTCATACACCCAGAAACATTAAAAAATCTTTTGATTTCTCTTTCTAAAGGAATGTAGAAAAGAACTCAGAAAAGAACAGCAGACCACTGAGAGAGAGCCTCCAATCCAACCAGAAAAAAACAAACAATGAAAAAGAGCTCATGTTCACAGCTCTTCTGCCTGGTCATAGCTATCAATAAAGGTTCCTTTAACAGTTGCTAATGTGCGTCCAGTCTCGATTTCCTAAATGAGGGGTTGCCTGAGATGGAGGTCTTAAAACCTGATGTTGCCTCTTACCTGGGTCTCTTTGTTCTCTTGCCAGCTTTATGGCTACATGGAAAGCGAGCCGCTCACCCTGCAGCTGTTCATAGGGACCGCAGACGACCGCCTCCTGCGACCACATGCCTTCTACCAGGTCCACCGCATCACGGGCAAAACCGTCTCCACCGCCAGCCATGAAGTCATGCAATCCAACACCAAAATTCTGGAGATCCCTCTGCTGCCTGAGAATAACATGAGAGCTATGTGAGTGCTATCCACGCTTTCTTCCATTAACTTCAAAACACAAGCAGAAATGTGCACAATCTTTTTCTTTCTGCACCTTTCTCTTTGTTATATCTCTATAGGATGAGGATGCTTAATGATAAATATTCTTGAGCTTTCACTTCAAAACAGGCCTTCAAATTTGAGTTCCATGCCTTTACCCCAAGAGATGCACACATGTTAAAGAAAAAGCAAGCGCCGAGTTCATGGGTGCTTTAATTCGGCCCAGTGTGGATATGGCCAGTTTTAGGCTTGCATTTGGAGTGCCGTTATCCACCAGAATAATGTGGTCCCGTTACACTTGGCTTGGTCAACATATTCCACCGAGACAAATATATGAGGCAAATTAGGACATCCCAACTGAACTAACAAGTCTGGTGAAAAGAATGATTTGGGCTTGGAGGGCAATTAGTCACATTCATGTAGCCTGCAGTACCCAAAGCAAACAGTAACTTTATTGGCCTGTTTGTATTAAGAAAGTCCATAACTGCCAATTCTGATACCAATTTAGCAATGTCAACTACTAAAATAAGCAATTTTAAAATTAGAAATGTATTTTGTATTGTTAGTTTTGTATTTTCAATTGTTCCTTGACCGCTGGCTGGCTGGTGTGCACAATGAAAAAAAAAAAAAAAAACCCAACAAAATGGATCCAACCATCATGGAAGCCACTTTATGCACACCTGTGTTTTTCTAATGGGTCAGAAAGTCTTCTGAAAAATCAACATCGTCATTTGCTGGACAGCAGTGGCCGTCTGCTGCACCATTACCAAACAGAAACTTCTGGGACAGAGCTATGTCAGTGTCATTCGTGAAGCAGCTGGCGCAACAGTAGACCGGTCATCTTATATTTTAGTCGTTTTACACTGTAAAAAGTTCATAAAATGGTTTCTTTTTATGAAATTAAACTGGACATAACTTCATGTGTCACATATCACATATGTCACATATCACATATGTCACATAAACAGTGTAGCCAAGAGATAAAGAACAAATAGCTTTTTTTAAATGACAAAAAGTGTCATAAGTGTCTGACCTCAATGTTGAGACTCAAGGACAAAGTTTTGCTGTACTTGCCTACTAAGTCCACGAGGTTTTGGGGCAACGCAGGATTTCTAGAGAAAGTCTGGAGGCTGTTAAAGAAAAAAGAAAAAAGATGGATGATGAACTAATCTTGACACTGAAGGGGAAAAGATAGGCCTAATCTAACATTGGTAAATAATAGAAAGTTGTTTGCTTTAGCATGGTGGCATGATGATGATGAATTCCAAATATGCTTTCATCACATCTGATCAAAAGTTTCAAACCCAAAATAGCGTGAAACATGTTTTAGAGTCAAGTCAAAATAAAGTAAGAGAGGGTTTAGTGATTAGGACTTGCAGTGGAGACCAGGATTAAGTCTTTGTCGCCGAGCTGCTGGATGATACGAGCAAGGCAAGTTTAAATAGTTTACTGCAGGTAACTTCTACCATCTGTACTGATTAACATAAAAACGGGGACCACTGTCTAAAATTCTGTGCTGCAGGTGGACCAAATTTACAGCTTAACTCAGCATAGAAGAAGCACTGAATGAAACAAAAAAAAAGTAATCACCTATTTATTCATAGCATTAAAAAATCGATGTTTTTGATGTAGTTTTAAATGTAAACTTGCTCCATCTTAAGGAGCAGAGCATCTGTTTTCTAGGGCTGAAAAGTCAGGCTCGGGTTCTGTCTTCCTCCCTCTATACTTTCAGTAAGCCAACGGCTCTGCTCTGCAGTGTATCCAGGCAGTAGCTCCTGTCCTGGGGCTCCGTTTAGACTAGGCAGCAGTGAATTTGTTGGACTGTGGCCCAGAGCTGTGTGTTGTTGGTAAAGCCACTGTATCTTAGCACAGGTTACATAAGGCAATTACCTCTTACTGTTTATTCGTCACCATTTAGACTTTAAGTGCGTATGTGTTTTTAAATGAAAAGCCTATAGGTGATGCATCTCTATGACACAGTTTCATGTTTGTATAAATGTTGGGGATCATGAAGATTTATGGGACATGAGAGTTTCCTGACCGGACAGTGGCCCTCTTTGGCGACGCGTAGATGATTTTAACATTTGTATTACATTACAATATCATTTCCAACAATACCTCAATATCCTTCATATTGTAACATATTAAAGCATACTGTTGGCCTGTTTTGCTTAATGTGTCCCCTAGGCTATGATTTTATACCAAACCAAACGTTCAAGAGGAAGTTTTTTTTTTCTCTCTTTTTATCGTCAGCGCACAAGAAGAGGAGTTAAAGTTTTGTATTTCTTCCTGACTATCTAAACAGTGAAAGATGGAGAAAAGTCTTTAACTGTCTCTCTCCACCAAGCTGTTAAAAAGTTGCCTTGATAATGCAGAATCCATCTCGCTGTGCACACGCCAGTTATCATTTGTGTGGGATGCAGACACTCAAGAGCTGCAGTCAAACTTTCAGAAAGCTTCAATCTGTTTTTTTCCCTTTCCGCTTCTAAGATGTTTTATCTTCAAGCACACCAACCACCTCTGCAGATTCTAACTACTATAACCTAATAAGCGAGAAAGCATTCATAAGAGGATGACGGTTATGACTAGAGTAATTTTATTATGCCCATCATCTTGCTCTTGTTTAAAACCACAGACTGGTGGCATATTAGTAGAAAGCTGTGAAACTTTGACTCGCGCTGAGTGGATCTGTGGTGGTTTTCATATGCTGTCATTTGGTCATCTTGTCTGCTAAAAGGGAATGGTTCATTTGAGTGATCGCCTTTAATTCTATAATGCAGTGTTTCTCTCCTGATGAAAATGGTGCGTTTAACGTCTCAGTCCCTGGTAGATAAGGGCTCACTGAATAGTTTGATGAGCTTGAAACTGATTTAGGTCGTATGCTACAGCTTTTTTTATTTATTTTTTGCCGTCACTACATCTTGACCTAGTTACAGATCTGGATCTATTAAATTTGGGCAAAACATCAAGTTTGTATGTTGATAATCCCTGTGGAATTGTAGGCTATGACTAATATCTGCAGTCCCCCCGCTCTTTCTTACCATGCTATCTGCAACCACTGCAGGATTTTTCATAGAAACAAGGTTTCTACTGCCACAAGGGTTTGTTTAAAATCCAAAAGATTTGGTTTAACATATTTTAACTCTGTCTAATATGTTTGGGTTTGTTATCTTCTTTTTCCTCAGTGTCAGTCGATCATTTCATCTAGATTTCCATAGGTTGGTTAGCAGACATACGTCATCCTAAGTTTCTGATAGTGCAAAAATGTCATCATATGTTATGTTAAAGTGCAAGATAGTTAGAACACCAAAACACCAATTCTTTATGTTGCTCGTTTTTCAGTGCTGATAAGCAGCGGGTAGTCAGCATGCCTGTATCTGTTATTTTTCTTTTCTTTGAATTGTACAAACCAAAGTCAAGGGAAAAATGGATTGGTATAAAACCTGACATTTACCATGTTCCAGGAATCGCTCCCAAAAAGCTACCATGTAAAATAATTTAAATGCCAAACCATATCCCATCTGTATTCTCTCACTTTTTACCAGCCACACTAGTTTTATGTAAATTTATGAAAGGCCATGCCTGCGAATGAATGCCCTTTTTCCACTAAGAAAAGGGAAAGAAACTCTACACCTTTACCTCCCAAATTGTGAAATGAAATAAATAAAGAGAGACAGCTAAAAAAGGGGGCTATTAGCACATGTGGCAATGATTAACAGCGGTTTTAAACCCAAAACTCATGAAGTGAATGGTGCGAACGGACAAGGCAGGCTTGGTGTACTCCTACAGAACGTGTGTGATACTGGTGCGCTCAGTCCAGATTTCTCTGAATACTTGGACCACTCTGGCCATTTAAAACCGTGATGCAAACTCATTAATGTCCAACTTTTCCTTTGATGACATGCTGGATTAATAATGACACGGTCATGCTCCGATAAACTTCCAGTGCATGATCTGTAACACCAGTGGGGACTTCACTGCTGGTCCCGATGCGTAGCAGCTATTTTCGATTTCACAGCCAAGAGTAAATCAGATAGGCTCCTGTTTCAACCCTTGGTCGCACTTTTCCATGCTTTTGCATCCCGTTGAAAGCTACCCTCTGTGACTCAGGGTGTGGAACAGAAGAGAAAGAAATCGGTGCTTTCTTGAAATGCTGTAATAGAAATTGTTCTGGCTTGGAAAAAGTAAACAGTGAACTTCACCTTTCCGTCACCTTTGCCTGTGTAATGTTGTCTCGGGGATATAGTCTTCAATTGTGCGTGTGCTTTTCTCCGTTCTAGAATTGATTGTGCGGGAATCCTGAAGCTGCGAAATTCAGACATTGAGCTTCGCAAAGGGGAAACGGACATCGGACGTAAAAACACACGTGTGAGGCTTGTGTTTCGCGTGCACATCAACCAACCCAATGGCAGGACCGTGTCCCTACAGGCCACTTCGAACCCCATTGAATGCTGTAAGTCTTACACACACACACACACACACACGCACAGAAATAAACACAAAACCTGGCATGTCTTTTCTGTTGGCTTTGCACTCAGGTGGCATCTATTGTTGTAGTCCAATAAAGTGAGCTACTATTTTATTGCCTACTGGAGCAAATTCAGTGCATCTGCACCCAATAAGCTTTATTTGATCAAAGGTCTTTGCCAAAGCAATAGATGCATTGTGCACGATGCCAAACACACGTGCTATCTATCTTAAATTCACATTTTACGACTGAATGCACAAGTTATTTTGGTAACACTACCCCATTAGCGCAGGTTTCACAAAGGTCGTTTGCCAGCCCCACTTTTTGGCACGGTTGAGTGAGCACATTGAAAGAAACCTCTGTTCTCTTTGTCATTCATTTGTGTATGAGGGGTGTGATGTTATTTGCGCCCAAGGAAGCCAGTTAGACTCAGATTGTGAGACAGAGCTTGCGTTATAGTTTATGGTCCAAAGTGGAGGTTAATGTGAGTTGGTGCATCATATTTAAATGTGAAGTTTAAAGTTATTTAAAGGGCAGATTTATAAATAAGATCCACAGATGCAAGGTGATACTGTATATCTATACGGCTGTGAATGTGGTGACCGAATTCTACAGGTCAGAGGTGACTTGCTGGCATCACTTCATGCAAAGCAGAGGCAGGTGGTTGGCCATAACAACCATGAAAATATTGTTTTGATCATCTGTGCGCCTTTTTTTCAATGTCATTTAAAGAGCAGCTGTTGGCTGCAAACCTCTTTGCTAGGGGGTCATGAAATCATCATAATAAAGTTGATAAGCCTGTTTCCCTAACCAAGAACTGCTGTTTCACTGGCTGTGAGCTGGCCTTGTGCTTCCCGGGGTAGCTGGGGATCAGGCGGTGTATTAGTGTAATCTTGCGCACCATTTTGAAACCTGTGTTTGTTTGTTTCTTTCAACAGCCCAGCGTTCGGCTCAAGAGCTTCCCTTGGTCGAGAAGCAAAGTATGGACAGTTGCCCTGCCACGGGAGGCAAAATGATACTTCTAAACGGACTCAACTTCCTGCCCGAGTCCAAGGTGGTATTCGTGGAGAAGGCCCAGGGTAAGCTGCAGTCACCGGGCCATGTTTACCGCATTTCAATTTCCCTTTTTAATACCCCTTTCTTTTCTTTCTCCCCCACTCTCGTCAGTTGCATTTTCTTAGTCTCTCCTCCCGTCAAAATAGAGCAAGACTTGCCAGCGAGCCACATGTGGTGTGCATTAGGCCACTATATTTTTAACCAAAGCGTATTTACATTTGCTGAAGTTTCCATTGCCTGTTCAGCGGCGCTCGCCACAAGTTAAGGAATGAATCACAACCAGGGCATGTGCAACGTCTCTTTCTCTCACTTTCCCTCTTTCCCTCGCTATCCGTACCTCCCTGACTCCCCCTGCTTTCGACAGTTAACCCTTTCGCTCGCTTGCTTTCCGTCACTCTTTCTTCCGCCCTGTTCTGCCAGACGCTCACCCTGGCCGGCTGTCGGAAACCATTTCTTTCTTTTTCTTTTTCTTTTTTTTTGGTCTAAACTTTTTGGCCATATGTTTCTCCCCTGTGTGGGTGGGTGGGTTGTGAAAGTAGAAACACTAGTGATCAGGTTTTCAGTTTGAATAATGATTGTGATCATTTCCTTGATTGCACCCAATAAATCAAAACAAAGGTCAAGCGCAGTAGTAGCTCTGAAGTCAGCTGAAGCACGACGTGACTGCTGCCGCTGCTGCTGCTGAGCAACACACGAACTAAGACAAGGGAGCAACATAAACAGAGTTGTGAGAATGAGATAATTGTGTCTTCCAGCTCATTAACCATGAATTTCAAAATTGCTGAAGATTATCACACTTAATCCACACTTTCCAAAACACTTCACACTTTTGCCGTAAAAGTTAGCAAGTGGTCAGTGAACGCAGAAATAAAAAGTGAATCCTTTATTTACTTATTTTCCTCAGAAAGGTTATAAAAATAAAATTCAGTCTCAAAATTGGAAGGAAGAAAGATTTCGTTACTCTTCACTGCATGGATCTCTCCCTACTTGCCCCTAGCTTGTTTGAATGGTCTACTCTTAAGGACCTAAGGGCTTAAGGAGGAAGCAGCAATGGGTTAAGGAGAGGTGGATGAACTTGGTAATTTGGGGTATCCCTTCTCCTGGTTTTAGTTAGTCATGGAGGGGTGTGGGGGATTCCTTGAAGAGGAAAGCCCATACATGCACACCTTTTGCCTTCTTGGTAGTATTTCTGTTCTTTCCCCACTCTCTTTACCTTGATATTCTGTTTCTTTCTTTTCCTCTGTTCTCCTTCATCCCTCATTTTTTCTCACCTCTATCCCCGATACCCGCTAAAGACATTAGGAGCTGTGGAGCTCTACGCTAGCGGGATCTCTGGGCTCGTGGCTGCCATTGACATCTCGGTGGTTTGTTTTCCGTCTCTGTGGTGTCCAGAAGGGAGAAAGAGAGAGAGAGAGATCGAAAGGGAGGTTGTCTGTCTACTACTTAGTCTGCTTTTATGTGAACTTTAATGACCCACCATTTCCAGGGTCTCCTAAGTCAAGAAGCCCATTACAGAAAGACCTACACACCCTAAACACACGTGCGCACGCAGGAACACACACATCACTCACTAATGGCAACTATGGACGAGCAACTATGAGCACGGAAAAATACTTATGTCCTAAATATACTGCAAAAGATTGTCCTTTGGCATTTTAATCAGAGAATCCTGGTGTTTCGTGAAGTTTTAGACTTGTTGATTTAGAAGGGCCAAACTGGGATGAGGAAAAAAGAAACCAATAAAATTATAATTATATTACAGAATTATTCTATAACTTTGGTTTTATTTTCCTCTGGAAAAGTTCATGACTAAATGCATCCATGAAATACAGAGCATCGCGCCGCAATAATTACCACTCGCAGACATGTGCTTACACAGTCATGCGTACGTACAGCCAAGGCCTTTGTGTGGCACAACACCAATCACTGATTTTGCCTCAGTGGTGACAGCCATTACTGTTGCTTCCATCAGAGGTCAGGACGGCTGCTCACTCTCCAAAATTGACTCCAATAAACACCTTCAAGAAAATTCCACAAATCCTAAGGAGCAACAGGCTGCTTTAGGACGACTAATCCAACTTGTGTGAATAACTGTGTACAGTCAAAATCCTCCAAGTGGAGTGAGGGGGCAGATCACACAGAGCACAAAAGCCTATTAGCACAAATGAGCTATAAATCATAAATACATCTACTTCTCTAACTGTTTCCATTTGTTGTGTTGTTTTTTTTTTGTGCAGGCTGTAGCTGTTTTTGGCATACACGCAGATGTTTTTGAATTGTCTGAAACACCAACGCAACAAAGACAGATATCAATTAATTACAGAGCTCTGTTAGTGGATGCCATCAACATTTGAGAGATTTGCTGTTTGCAGTTTGTGGTTAAATGAGGACACCAGAGACACACAGGCATCCAGTAGTCTTTAGAAAATCATTGGCACATGTGGCCACTGGCATTATCTTCTGTACAAGGAGCAAAATATCATGCCGTGAATACACAGTAATACATCTAAGAGCAAATGATTGTTTCGTACAACAGCATAAATAAATAAATCAGACCCACATGTACTCTTAAATCATAGCGCCGCTCTGTTTGTCGACTTTAACCTTCCTCTCCTTCTCTGTTGTTTTGATTGTCTGTCTGTCCCCCCGTGAGACATCCGCAGTATCAAATGAGCAGAGCTCATAGCTGTTGCCACTGCGGGAAACCTTAATGCACCTTGAAAAATAATTACTTCTACTTTTTAGATGCCATGTCCATCCCCACTGCTCCACTTCATCACCCACAGGATAACTGATGCAAACCGGTGCATTCACATGTGTACAGTACGTGTGTGTGTGTGTTTGTTGTTGTGTACCCGCTGCGGCTGCTAGCCTGCGGGCCTGTTTGCGTTGTTCAGTAGGAAGTGTTTGCAGTGAGTCATCCACAAAGGATTCCCTGTAGAAGGGGTGAATCGGAAAAGACAAGACCCCTTAGACAGTAGAGCGGGGGGAGAGGAATAGGAGGTGCAGAAATGGGCGGGGCTTCCGTAGAACTCTTGAGATATTGGCGCATAGAAATGATCAGATGTTATGGTCCAAAGTGGACTCGAAGACCACAGATCACTTTCCACACGCCCCAGCGAAAGGTTTTCTTTGTTCATGTGACTTTTGTATGTATGGTTTTGCTCCATCAGATAGTGCAAGATATTCAGACTGTAGGAACATAGGTGCTCGTCTTCTGTTGCAGTTTAAAAACTCCTTTCAAGAGTAATTTTGTTGATAGTAATAATAATAACAGTCTATTTCATTTTTGCTCTCTGCTCAGCACAGAGTAGTGCCTTTCCCAGAACCACAATATGGGCATTTGTGAAACTTTCCATCTTTTTTGCATTGTTGACTTTGCTTCAGTTTTCTGTTATTAGTATTGCGTTTTGTGTCTGTGTTTTTGGTATACCCAAACCGCTCTTTTGGCATTGGATTAGGAAGACATACCTGGCGCACCTATTGCAATGTGTGTTCTGGCTTGCCCTGCTTTCCATGGATGGAATGAGTGCTAAAGGCAGGGAAAATAGAGGCACAGACAGACAAACAGAAAGAGAGAGAGGGAGAGAGAGCAAGCTGGGGAAAGCCTACACTCTGACTCAGAGGGGAGGTAAGGGAATTCCCTGGTGAGCCGGATAGTTTTTACATCTGGTAGGACTGGAGCGTTGCCTGGAGCTCAGCAGCACCATGCAGCCTGGTCTGCAGCAGGGAGAAGTCTGGTCCTCTCTACCTCTGCCTCAGGCTGGAGAGAGGCTTCTTAGCTCTAGCATAATCTGTAACTTTAGAACAACATGATCTACTACAGTAAGCTCGAGCTAATATTCCTCATGTGTAAAAGCTCCTCAGCATCGGACTGAAATGTTTGGATATCCATACCTTCATAGTTAGAAGAAGGCTATGACCTGAACTGCTAAGAGTTCGTTCATGCACTGTTTATACTTGGCTGAACTCTTCCACCCTGGGCAAGTTTAAACACCAGACAAACTGGTCGATGTATTGTACTTGTAGCAGTATGTCTAGACTGTCCTTTGGCTTCAGGCTAGAATAACCTTCATGGCTCATACTGGCTCATAGTTCTGGCACTTTGGCACGATAAGACCAACCTCCACCCCTGCTTCAGGCATGAGATTTGGGATCTTACTGTCTCATTAGGATGGTATACTGCCCTCAATTTCAAAATCAGTAACTATTTATCACTGCTAGAATGGTTTAAGCTCTCAAGCACCTTGCTAGAAGAGCATCATGAGGAATGTGTGAAATGGAAGTTTGTTTCTTATCTGCAGTTTAAAGCTATATTTGTGCAGTGGCTTTGCGAACATCTATACATCAAAGAAACCAGTTGTGTGATAGCAGAAAAATGTTTACATTGTCCTGTGGCCTCTACACTTCTCTTTAGACATGTTTGAACATGTAATTGCCAGAACAGTCTCTCGAACTGTGGAATGATGGCCATTTTTGTCAGGGAAACATCTTAATATCCCTCCAGTTGATTAGAATAGTGATATACCTTAATGAAATGTGGCTCACTACATGGGTCTTTATGACCGATTTGGCTGCAAGCTGTTGGAGCGACCCTGCTCTGATATATCAAATGATCATCTACCTGCATTCTTTTTCACCATTCACTCAGTTTCTAAGTGCGGTTCTCGCTGTGACTCTCGCTAGGCTGTGAAATAACGTGCAACACACCATTAAGAGCAGCAAGCTTTGATGTCTTTCTAATGCTATCCACTCTACAAATACTATCCAAATGTACAAGTGCAGATGATCCTCCCACCGTCATTCTGAGTCTTCAGATCATTTTCAAACTCAGCGCCACACAGCTGGACTCTTAAAAAGAAGCATAAAATTTCACTCCGCTGACCGCCATCCTCCTCAGGCTACAACCCCAGGTCACGTCGGCTCACGCTTTCCCTGTTATACACCGAGAATAACTCACTTCCTGGCTATAAACCCATCATAAATGTACTGTCAAGTCGTAATTTATACGGAAGCCCCTCGATCTGAAGCAGACCCACATTTCTCCAATTTCACCAGGTCTTAGATTGGCAGAATCCAGTCGCTCCAGACGGGAAACGCAGCTGGGATCAGTCACGGTGGAATCCCTTTTGGGCTTTTTTGGCTTTGCGCCTCATTGGGCAACAAGGCGAATGCTGTGAAAAATGTGCATAAAATTACTGAAGCATTTTCATTCAAGGTGGCAATGGAGACGCTATAAAATGGAAAATAAACTTGACATAGGTAAACAGGAAAGAGATATAAATACTCTAAAATAATCTTCTCTGGAAAAGAGATGTAGCTGCAGAATATGTCTGGGTTGTTTCACAAGACAACCTCCGCATTTAAGCGTGTGATTCATAGTTTCCATTCTCAAAAATCCTGAAGTGAACTTGGTCAGTGGAAGCTGTTTTGCACTACACAATGCTTTTTGGAAGGAAAAAAAATCACCTTTGGCTGTCAGTATACAAAAAAAAGTTAAATTTAAAAAAGGAAAAAAGAAAACGCTCAAATGCTAAAACCTGTGAGTTCATTGGGAGGTCAGATACACTGTTACTCAGCTATCTAGGGTTCTTAACTTGGGTAGGTAGTAACAAAAGGAGGACTATAGTATATAAAACTAGAAATAACACAAATGAAGGGTTTGGACTTTATGAGGTTTTTTACAACAGCAGCTCTGTTGCCAGGTTGTCACCAGACAGGTACACAATATTGTTTGTTGTCAAGAACTGAAGAAGAAATGACTCGAAGAGGCCTCACCCTACGTCCTGTCTAGTTGCCTGATGAATGAACATGTTGTCCTGGTTGTGCAGTGCTAGTCTTTGTGGACCAGATTTGCAAGAGTGAGTCATATATAGAAAAGCTGCCTGGTTAACATTTGAGCACAAAGTCTAAAAATAAGCGTGCTTCCATTTGTCCATGTGCATGCATGTGTTCATTCACTTCTTTGTTTGACCAAGGCAAGATTATGCCGTACCTAGAGCTCTCCAGACACAGCTCTTATATGCCACTCATTGTTTTTGTGCTTCCCCTGTTATAATTCAAGTTGAAGGCCAGAACAAAGGTAAAGGATGCTGTGGTTGCATGTGTGCATATGTGTGCATCGGTGTGCGTGCATTACGCGTGGGTGGACTTTGCTTGAAAGAGGAGGTGTTGTCAGGAACAGAAGCGTTTTGCAGATGTTGCAGGGAAGATGGAGAGAATGGAAAGTCCTGTGGTTATCACCCAAACAGCATGCCACAGGTGGCCCCATCCCAATTCCATCAAACTCTTAGCTTTGCTTCACACGATGCAGTGTGATTTGAAAAAAGTTTGACAGAACAAACTGATTTAGAGCTACCAAAGGTGAGACAAAAAAAAAAAAAAGATCAAGAGGGAGGCAGAGAGAAAAGTTTGAAAAACATGTTTACTAGTGGAGGCTGGGGTTGACGTCGGAGTCTAAGGTTTCCCTCTTGGAGTGTCTCCCAGAGCGGAGGCGGGTGAGATTCCCTCTTGGTTCCCCTAGACGTAACATGAGGAACGCTCATCTCTGTCTGCCTCTGTCTCTCCCCTTTTCTCTGACCTTCCCTGAGCCTGTGCTTGCTCTAATCGCCCTTCCATACTCTGAACAACTACACTGCATTACCTTTGCCTCATTCTTTCATGTACCTCAATCATCTGCCACATGCACAGGATCACACACTGTGCCCCCTGGCTACTGCTATTCCCCAAGTCATGCACTTCATCTCCATTGCAGTGAGGTACATTTCTCCATATGCAACTCTTATTTCCACCCAGTTCAAATACAAAAAAAACCCTTATCTGATCTCTCCACCGTCTGTTTTTCTCTTCCCCCCATGTTTTAATATGGCCATTTTGGAAAGATATATCTACTGATGTTCACTCTCTGAATAATAAAGCTGACCACCCGCCCCCACTACCACATCTCACCAATAATAAGCCAGCCGTGACTGGAATCCTTTATTCTCTCGCTCTGTGCATGATGTGAAAAACATAATGCTTTGGGAAAAAAAAACAAGGGTTTTACATCTTCCAGAGCTGCTGGGCTTTTGCTGTCGTTTATGTGGAAACTGTCTCTGATTATCTTATCTGATGGCTTCCTGCGCCTGACGCTGCAACTCTAGTTCTCTGTTTAATCTGCAAACTCCTACTTGCGCCTGTTAACATATAGTAGCACTGCCACACTACCCATCCGTACAGTTGCGTCACCTGGTGTGCCACTGAAACAAAAGCTGTTCTGTGTCACTGTCATTCATGACAGCAGTAATGACTCATGGTTTGTTCTGGGGAAAAAAAGGCGAAAAATTGCAGTGTGGTTGGTGTTGATTGCCGTAACAGAGCCCAGAGCGTCTGTTCACAAAGGTGCGGCGTGAAATCACAAAGAGGACGCAAAGAATGTGAACTGAGCTTCTGCAGGCTCCCAACAGCTGCAGCGGCACACAGGCCTTTTATTGCGAGGCAGCGAGGGGAAACCTCACCACAACAAGAAGAAAAGAAGGGCGGGGAAGAGAGGAAAAGAAGTAGGGGGAGCAAAATAGAAAAAGAAAAAAAAAATCTAATCAAGGATTTAACGTCGGGACAGAAATAGTGCAGAACTTTACAGAGACAGACGAAGAAAAGAGAGGATGCATTCCTTGTCGAACGTTAGAGAACAAACACAACCCAGCTCGTGGCTATACCAAATCAAAGCGGCTTCCCCCTTTTTTTGTGCTTTGGTCCAAAACCTTAAAGTCTTCACTTCAGACTTAGATAAGCAACACATTCTTACACTGGAGCTGCAAAAATTGTTAAAATTGTTTTTAAGAAATGAAAGTTAATAAATTATCAATTCACTAAGGAGCTCATCTGAAAGAAGAGGGAAATATTTAGTTCATAATTAAATAATAAAATCTGAAAAATTCGACTAGAAGCAACTTAATAGAGTCAAAATAAGGGCAGACTCCCTCTGGTGCATTGAAACTGGTGTAGCTAGAGGAGAATAAGCAGGTGATTGATGGAGATTTTGGAGTTGATGTCTGGAACAACCTGGATCAGGTCGAGTTTCAATTGTCTCACGATGCTTTATATTATAACGTAAAGACTCTACAATATTAGAAAGAAGCCCCAACACAACAATCAAGTGCTCTGTTTATGTTCCCTTATTATTCAAGACCTTGCATGTCATAAGTAGAATTTTAAATTCAATTCTGGGCTTAACGGGGAGCCAACATGGGAGAAATATGTGATCCAGAACTCTTTTTAGTCCCAGTCAGAGTTCTGGATCAACCAAAGGCTATTCTGGGAGCTTTTAGGACAGCCTGATAATAATGAATTAGAATAGTCCAGCCTAGAAGTGATGCATGCATAAACTAGCTTTTCAGCATCACTGTGACACAGGATGTTTCTAATTTTAGAGATGTCAAAGAGGAGGGTGCGTGACAGACAGCCTGAAAGGGGGAGTGAAATAACACTAGAGAGAACCGGAGCAGGTCTATTATAGGAAAGAATAGTGACAAAAACGTTTGAATGAGATGACTTTGACAGTGTGAAAATGAAACTGATGAAATAAAAAGATCCAAAACAGCACATATCAACAAGAACTTGAGAGAACAGAATTTCTTTATTGAATTTCTGTCGAAACCGTGATGTTTTTTTTCCCCAAAATCCAAAAGTCTGTAGCCACACTCCAGGTGAGGTCCATCTCATCTATATGTTGATGCAGTTTGTAAGGACCTCTGCTAAATAATGCATTTGTCTTTTTGCAAAACAGATGGGCATCATCTTTGGGAGACGGAAGCCAAAGTTGACAAGGACTCCATCAAATCAGTGAGTGCACCTTACCAGCATGATTTATTTGAAATGCTCGTGCCGTCTCCAGTCCCACCTTCCCGTGAGACTTTTTCTCCTTTTCCTTTCTCTGTCTCTTCCTCATCTGTCCCCTGTAATGATGTAACCTTTGCTAAGTTATTACAAATTGCAACATAGACAATGATGTTTAGCCGATGCAATCCTGAATGGAATTTTCACAAAATCTCCTTATCCTCTTGGAAGTAATTAGACGCAGGCTGTCATGTTGTTTTTGCATCTAATCCATGAAGATACACATGTATGGGTTACACACACACACGCACACACACACACACACAATCCTCCTAGCATAGCCAGACGTTTAGTTCACAGTGAGGCGTGCTGAATTGGGCTCAAACACCTCATCTACGTTGAGACCGTGCAGCCAAGTGCAAATCGCACCCTACCTGCTGCCTTTCATGAGGGTGGTAATGAGAAAATAAACCAGTGTACTCGTTTAACTGACGCTCAGTCGGACTGTTAATGTAAAAGCAAGCGAAAAGGGAATCGTCAACAGAGGGAATGAGGCAAATGTTTTTCTATGTGTCACAGGGAGCTGCCTGAGCTCTGGACTTAATTAAGATTTCATCAAGGTTCATTAGGCCTGCTTTTTACTGTGGACAGAGTCAAGAACAGAACCTGTTTGCTTGTGCAGGATGACAGCATGTTTTGAAATGCCGACTCTTTTCATCAACTGTGTCAAGCCACTGTAAACTAACTGAGGTGATTTACACTCGCACATAGTTAACTATCCCCAACTAAAGTCTGCAAGTCGGGATGTTTGCTGCTGCTGTTTCGCTCGGGTAAATGACTCGGTTGCATCAGTAGGACAAATATGGAGTGTGGTGTCTAATTGCTCCGCAGGGCCGGCTGATGCGTGATGGCTAGAGTCCCGGATGCTGGAAAATTAGCAGTCAGCATTGATAAAACACAAATCTTACAGTGTGTTTGTAAATCTAATAAACAATTACTTAGAGACAGCGAGCGAGAACAGGCCCTCTTCTTATGCCAGCTGCGACTAGACTACTCTAAAGTGCTCCAGTCTGACTGCCTGCTCGACTGTGTTTTTATTGCCATCCAGAGTGTGCTAACTTTCACGGGGTTGGGAAGCGAGGGAAAGCGGTGCGCACGCACTTAACACCCTAAAGTCTGCCACCTGCATGTTTTTCTTTGTCATTATCTGGAGGGTAGACTGGTGCTGAGCTCACCTCCGACTTCCCCCCACCACCCCGTCCCTCCCACCTTCCTTCAAGTGCGGCAATGACCAACAGAAACCTGCTCTCTGTCAAAAAATGCTTCACTCTGAGCCTGTTTAGATCCAGAGGAGAGTCATAGCTGCCCCGGGATCATTTTTTTGCAATGTTCTCAATATATTTGCAAGTTCATATCCATCCAGACTTGCTGTGGTGTAGCGATGCAGAGGAGGCAAGCAGGCAAGCCAGCAAAGGCACGGCTGTACAAACAAATAAGCTGGCTGCCTCCCTCCTCTCGTGCAGTACAGGGACGATGCTAAAGCTCCTGGGTTTTCCTCAGAGACAAACACAGGCACTGGACCAACCTCTTGAGCTCTCGTGCTGCATCTACACAGTCCAGACGTGCTCATTTAGACCTGCTCCCAGTCCAGCCTCTTGGAAACAGTATCCTGAATACTGGCCAACTGCAAAACAAACATAGCTGTTGATTAACCTCTTAATTCCCCCAGGTGTACAGTCATTATAAACCCATGCTGTGTAGTCTTTCCAGTCTTTTAAATTTGCAGAACTTCCTTTGAAAATATTGTGGTGATCCCAAGCTTTCCAAAGATGCAAAAACGCCTCAGCCTAACTTTGAGACAGAGCAAGAAATAAAACGTTTAAACTACAAAGCTAGGTGGACAAGTACTAAAAAGAAGTTGGTTATTTAAGAGGAAATGTGAAAATCGAAATGACGTCTCACACCTGAGTTTTTATTATCATATCATATTTCTGTTTTAGAACGCTCTTGTTGTGGAGATCCCACCATATAGGAACCAGAGAATATCCAGCCCGGTGCAGGTTAACTTCTACGTCTGCAACGGCAAGAGGAAGAGGAGCCAGTCCCAGCGCTTTACCTACCTTCCTCCAAATGGTAATAATCATCCACCCACCCTTTCTATTACCAGTGACACTGCAACACTCATATGCTTTACACAAGCTGCACGCTTTGTGTTCTTTATTGCAACTGTGTGCCTTTCCACGCCTTGACAGCCATTCGTCCTATTTTACCTCAGCTGTTAAAGTGCTACGTGAAATTTGTAGCCCCCCCCCCCCCCCCCCCCCCTTTTTTTTTTTGTGTGAATGTTTTTGACGTTGTAAGTGCCAGCACTTGGCTGAAGCCTCTGAGCGAGTGCAGAAGGTGTGAAGTGTGTTTATTCTGCAGTGACAGCACGTTCCCCAGCCATGAGGTGCACCTACTGAGTGACAGAGCCTCCGAGCACTGTTGATGTAGAGGAGTCAATCTCCCAGTGTCCTGACTTTCACACCCGGCCCCACACATTCTCTTCCAGCACACTTATGAATTGACAAAAAAACATTCACGCGCACACACACAGCCAGCCATTGCTTTGCCATATCATTCATGTAGCAACCTGAAAACCCAGAAATACCTCTGTCTGTGTGTGTGCGTGTGTGTGTGTGTGTGTGTGTGTGTGTTTATCACAAGCCCCTGGCCTCAGTGTTTATAGACGGCTTTCACGTTGGAATTTGAAGAATGTATTGTTAAGAGTTAAAAAGTTCAGCCTTGAAATTACATTGCGAGCTATTTGCTCTTCACAGTAGGCACAGGTGAAATATCATCTTCAGTATCGCTTTCGAGCATCCCACGAGAATAGCATTATTTTATTGCGCCGGTTTGCTCTTTCAAGCCGCAGCTTTCCAAATATGGTGCTATAGTAAGTCCTTTCCTTGTTGGTCTGCTGAGAAGCGGCACCGACGCAGTTAAGAGCTTTTCAAGACACCAGAGAACTCTTCTGCCTCTTTAAACAGTAGTTGCTGAAGGCAGACTTAGCAAATGCTGCAGCTCATTTGCTCGAGCCGGTTTTGGAATTCTAACCAGCAACCGTGCTTTTACAAGGCACGCATTCCCCTTGTGATAACCAGCGAAATCCATTAGATCAAAACAGTGGTATCTTGTTTTCATTGATCAGAGCCTAATGGGTCTAATGCTTCTGGGATAGCAGGCAAGCAATGTGTTTAAAGACCAGAGCTGTTAATAAGATGTGACATTTAGATTATCAGCAGATGCATTTATGGCCTCGGGAGATAAGTGATCAGGATTTTGGATGAGGCTCTGAGAACAAATAGAGCACAGCCCTATTTGGAGATGCCTGATAATATGATGAACAAGTGCATTGTGGGTAACTGGACAAGTGTGGGACAAGACAAACTGTGGCCATATATAGCTGCTCATCCGTTTCATATAGCAAGAAACAGAAAGAAAAGGAGATGCAAAGGCTTTTCAACATCCACGGCGCATCTCAAAGTCAGTTCTCTGAGCGTGCACGCAGCTCTAATTAAAAGATGGCTTGTTGTGTTCTTTCCTTTGCTGCCAAATAAACCACAAGTACAGCCTGGACCACACAAGCGGGGCCCGTGTCTTGTCAAAGAAGTTTAATTAACTTACAAGTGTTACAGCCAAAGCGACCACGACAAGGTTTTTGAGTTCTATTTTCAGATACAGCGTGCGCATTAAAAAAGTACAGCTGATCATATGAAAAACAGAGACTCTGTTGGGAGATAGCAGGTGAAGCAGAACACAGAGCTTGAGTTCCATAGTTGTGATCTACCTGGTAAAAACTTTGGTTTTATTTTTTTGACCACAATGTTAAAATTGTTCTAATTATCACAAACAGACACAGTGTGCACAGTGATGACTGCAATAGTTTCACAGTTTCAATACTGCAGCAGAGAATGAGGAAACCCTAGTGAAGCTGTTTGCTTTTGAGGGTTTCAGTGTGTGTGTGTGTCAACAGTGAGTGAAACAACCAACACTGCGGCCATGTACTCGGGGTGGGCTGCGGAGGAGGACACCCACACACACGCATAGACACACATTGCTGTCGACACTTTTTTTTACTTCTTCTTTTTTTTGCTCGCTCGTATGAAAAGACTCTTCCGGCCCTATGTCCCACTTCAAGCACAGTTGTGGTCTCTGACGTTGTTTAGAAAGAACATTTCTTTCACACTCTGCTGTCTGTTCATCTATAAAAAGCAAACCAAAACCTTAAAATAGCCCAACTTGTTTAAAACAGCGGAAGGATGAAGCAAACACTCTCTGGGACCCAGATGCTAGTGAAAACCACCTTTATTTTCCATTCAGGTCATGTGACCATCTTGTTATTCTTTGACACTAATGCATATGTGGTTGGCAATACTGCGGCTAAACATTGATACCTGCATTTGAAGAACAAAACACATCCGGAGGGGGGGGATAATAAAACAAACAAACTGTTTGCTATATTTTGCCCCGCAAGTACACCAGACATATTATTTCAACAGGCATCATTATTTCAGCAGATCTGTATGTTCACTGCCTCTGTTGTTAATTAAGAAGTTTATATTAGGCCTGTCAGATGCAGTGGAAAGATAGCAATAGATGGATGCTGCGGAATTTTGAGACATTGCCATGCTAATATATTGCAAAAAAATGGACATGCTCTATGTAAGTGAGGAAGAGGGGAATTGTGTATACAAAGCAGAAAACTGTGGAAGAGGAAGTGCCAATTACTGCAGTTCCTTTAGGCTGGCTGCTAAGGAAGGTAATAATTCAGTTCAGTTCAATTCAATATAGTTATACAGCGCCAAATCACAACACAGTCATAGTTACAACAGTTGCCTCAAGGCGTTTTATATTGTAAGATAGACCCTACAATAACACATACAGAGAGAAACCCAATCATATGGCCCCCTATGAGCAAGCACTTTGGCGACGGTGGAAAGGAAAAACTCCCTTTTAACAGGAAGAAACCTCCGGCAGAACCAGGCTCAGGGAGGGGCGGCTGTCTGCCGCAACCTGATGGGTCGGTAATACCAATAGACTTACATTTTAGCAGAAATAGTGCAAAAACTGTTTTGGTCTGTATGTCTAATTCCTAATTTCTGACTATATAAATTTTATGTATCACATTATGTTAAGGCTTAAAGTTTAATTATTTGGGACAACTGTGACTGACATTTGGCTGCTGCTAGCTGGACTGTTAGCTGCCCGCTAGGCTAAACTGGACCTCTCTGTCCTGATTGTGGCGTCGCTCATATGACTTTCTGTGCACACAATTGCATCAACGACATATCTAAGAAGTCTGCTTTCCAGTTTTGGTGAGTAAAATTCCAGTATATTATTTATATGTTTGTAGTTAGAAGGTATCTCAGGAGACACCCTTGATAACCAAACTTCATAGTATTAGTTGATAATTTAGCAATCAAACCACTAGTCCAAATATAGTCATGTTTTACATCAAAAGAAGAAAATAAGAGATGATGGCTGTCATTTTAAAGTTAAGAGATTGTTGTGGTGGCTATCCGGTCTTTAAGTGATGATGTGATGAATCCTGCTTCCGGGCCCAAACTACTCTGCATTTAATAAGGCTGTTGTGCTTTTATCATGTTTTAATGCTTTGTATCTTGTTCTATTTAATCTCAACAAGCCCCTAAAAACAGTCAGTGATCACTGTCGGCCTCTCTCGGTTTTTGTTACCACTATTCAATTTAAAGCTGAGTTTTTTAAACCTTACGATGTAACTACAGCTCAGCCCATGCAGCAGTATATTAATGACTAACCTCGTATTGTGGATGGATTATCTAAGTTGTTCTCCTGACTGAAGTTTGATCCGTTTACAGCGTCCTGCCATGAGATTGCATTTGCGCCTAACCATCGGGAACCCTCACCTCAACTTTTATTGAGTGGAAAAAAGTCCTCCGTTTGTTAGCGTTCGTCCTCCAACTTTACTGTTTATATTATGCTAACATAGCTGTGTTGCTAGCAATCACGTAGCACATCATTATATACCAGCTAGCCAAACTTCAGTAACCCTACAAAACTCACTGCTGTTTAGTTTTCTGTCTTCATTTATGTTGGAAGTGATAGCAGAGCTGTACGTCTTAATTTGTTTCAGATTTCCCTCAGTCTGAACATGGTATATTATATTTAGATGGCAGCTAGCGAGCTAGCGAGCTAACTCCCTGCTAACTTCTAACTCTGTTAAACTTCATAAATTCTTTGTTCATGGATGCCTTAAACTTAATTGTTACACCTGGTAGAGTAGCCACACTGATCATTTTATTACAGATGATAGAATTTAGACAGTTTTTCAACTCTCAGTAATGCTGCAGTGATCGTTTGACTTGGAGACCTGCAGCAGTGTTTGGGCCCAGACATAGCTAATGACGTTAGACTTAAAGACCAGATAGCTATCTTTTATATGCAGTCTATGATATACACAAAGCAACCCCCGCCTGTGTCCAAGTGAATACAAGTTGACCTTTCCCTTCACAGAACAAAATAAAGATTATTTTTTAGAATCTTTAGAAAAAAAGAGTTATACCAGTTATGGAAAAAATGTTTCTCCATCGGGATGTACTGATTATGAGGTATAGGTGCATTTAGCCGATGAGTCGAGAAGACTGCTATTGTTTAAATATACCATCAGCAGCATTTGCGGTTGAAGCCTAAGTGCCTGTCTGTGATGATGAGATGTACATGCAGAACAACTGTCGTCTGGTTCCCAGAATGAGCTTCCCTTTTCCGAGCTCCCGTCCAATAATTCTTGCGTGTGTAGAGATGTGACGTGTTGCTCTTCAAATAAGAAACAGTTTTCACCAACCACATTAAACAACAAATGCTAAAAAAAATGCTGGCAGTGACCAATGCTTGGGCCAAGAACTTCTCGGAACCCCTTTATTTTTACAGGCCTTTAGGAGATTCCTCTGTAGTTCTATTCTATTCTTAACGCAAATGGCTGCCTGCTCTCCCCCACCATCACTGCATCAGTCTGTGGTTGGAGCTGGAGAGGGTAGAGCCAGAAACATGTTCTGTGACACATACAGGAAAAGTTAATGAACCACACGTTGATCTTTTGTTGTAAATATTTGCACAGTCATGTTTTTCTAAAAAAAAAAAAAATCTGGACAATGACTGAACTGTTTCTGTCAGGTCTGCAGCTTTGGGTGTTTTTACACTAACCTACAGTATACCAAAGCCCACGGTATGCTGTGTGTCCAGATTGCCTACACAGTGGGACATGGTGCACGAGGTACCTTTGAGTTAATGAACTACCACCTGCTCCATGTTAAATGTCACGGGAGATTCATGCCGATAGTATGAGGTGTGTCCAGAATTTCTTAAAATGTTTTTCACAGTGGCGTAATAGTATCATATTTTACCAGTGGAAAAGAGTGTTAAGAACCTATTGCATCCTAAAATACCTCTTGAATTTGGCCAGAAGTACAGATGCTCTTCTTTAGAAAGTGTTTTATAAAGCTCACATAAGCCCTGCTTGCTTTTTTTAATGAAATAAACAGATACAGACACACATCACTGTCCCTATTCCCATCCCACAAGTGCTCAGTAAAATACCTAGATCATTCCTGATCAGTTCAATACAAGCAGACAGAAGGGAAAACTGCCAGAAATGGAGAGAAAAGCATGTGCGGAGCATCAACAGTCTGTGGGCCATAACCCACAGGTTGGGAGGAAATAGAAGCCAGCTGAAGTTGCACTGGGCCCGGTGAATCTGTTTTCTCAGTTCTCATATAAAGTGGATAGGAGACACAGAGATGGACCAAACTGGAGGAAACACGTCTGTTTATAAATCGAGGAGGGAGGAGTTTGAATTTTGGAGAAAATGTTTGCAACTTTGGAGAACAGGCAGGTGGAGGTTTTGCTTAATGTAAAAAACAATTCTTAGAATTTCCTTTACTCTTAATGAACAGCCTTTTCCTACATGAGTCAAACAGCCGTCCCATTATGCTGAATGCGAAATGAATAACGGCGATGCACCAGGCCCAAATGTGGATTCAAGGACAACCTGATTAGAACTTGGTTTTAAAAGGTCAAGGTCACAGTGAGCTTACAAAACACATGTTGGGCTATAACGCCAGACTTTATACACTAATTATGACACAATTTCATAAAAATTGTCTAATAGCTGTAAAAACACTCTTTCTGGCAGCTGGTCAATGTCATAATCCAAGAATAGAAGACAGCGAGGTTGCAATTGCTGTATATTTCACATGTGCTCAGATACTTAAATAATAACAGCAATCTTTGGTGAAAGGCATCTGTACATGCAATAAATTACTCTGGACGTATGCAACTTTCATATATTGTAATTATTTTATTTTTTTCATTTAACTTCTGCAAGGAGACATTTGAAACAAGATATCAGTTTTCAGGATCCGTTAAGCTCGATGTTCTTTAAATATTTAACGGGACTTTTGTTTTTTTTGACTGATTTCATATGGCAGAAGGTTAAATGTGTTTCAAATTAGAGGCAGCAATGCAGATCGGGACCCCAAGCTAAAATATGAAAATGGTCTCATTTTATGACATTTCCACTCTGATATCACACCCTCGGCTCCTTGGCACACTTCTGTCCATTCACACCAGAGAAAAAGGCACAGGAGACAAAGACAATCTGGAGGGAAGTAACTGTGGATGTTATGTGAGCATGTGACTCACTTGTTATTCCCCAGGCCACGGAGAGGAGGCCTGTGCATCATGGGACTCGCCTCACCGTGCTGCCCCAGACACCAAGCCTGGTCTCTGGGCTCTGAAAGCAGACAAGGCTGACGTAAATGTGTTCCCTGCCGCGTTATCGCTGCTCTGTAGCTCGGCACCCCGGAGGCTACAGACGCGTTTGGTGCCTTTTCAGACCAAACTCTCACATACCTAGATGTCTTCTTTTTTTTTTTGACACAGTAAGGGACAATTTGCCTTTTTTCTGTCAGTAAAAGGTTCTATTATGTACAAAAATCATACACACATACATCTTATTCTTAATGACAGCTTCAAGTAAATGTCACTACGAAGTACATTTAGCCAAAAACTTTTTAATGGCTGGCACCAAACAGTCACCACACCCATTAACACATTTTAACAATTGCTAGGAATAAACAGTATGTCCATTGTGACTCAGAAGCCTTTGCTGTGCATTTGGGTATCTTAACACGGGCCTATTACTTTTGTGCTGGCACAGCCTGTGCATATGTACTTATATAATAACTCAGCAGTGAGCTTGTTAATATGGATCCCTCTCCGTCACTCAACCCGGTCCATAAACACGCCGCTGTTTATGAAGGCTTCGGATTGTGATTGAAATTTTCAATTAATAGAAAACCTTTCTTGACAGTGAAGAGGAAGTATGTGATACCTGTCAGTCAGAAGTAATCAGGAAACAACGCAGACAGTCTGCACTGGATTAGAAGTTAGAAGGGAGCAGGCAGGATGATCAAATGGGGTCACTGCACTCTCTGCATTAGCTGAGGTCTGAAGCTCCTGAAACCACAGGCACAGCTCTGCAACCTCTTAAGCAGCTCAGGCAGCCTAATCAAAATCAAATCATCTCCTTTTTTTCACCCCCCTCCCCCACCCCACCACCACCACCACCACCACTATCTTTTTGGTCCTGAGAGAAACAATTACTTCTGGAGTGTGGAGGAAACCTGGGGGTCCTGAGCAGCAGCAGCAGCAACAGCAGCAGCACTCCACTGCTTTAAAGTACTTTTATTGGATATCAGAGCTGGAGGAGAGTCCAAAGAAAATAGGTCCTATTCATTATTAGAGCCAGCTGTGGCTTTCCACACTGATGACTCATCCATTTTTCTTTCCTCCCTATTCTTTTGCTTTTTTTCACGGTGTGGTAAAGATGGGTGGCAAAAGAGGAGGCGTAAGGATTTCTCTGTTAGAGGACTCTGCCAAGTTGACGCTGAGCCCAGATCCACTGGTGGTTGTTTGTTTGGATTATAAAGGGTATCACAGGCGCAGTTCTGCCTGCTTGATGCTTTACTCAGCCTCAGTCATACGCTCACTGCGCCACGTGGATTCCCTGCACGTTTTATAACCTCTCCTTTCTTTCTTTCTTTCTTTCTACTTTCCCCCATCAGTGCCGATCATAAAGACAGAACCCCACGATGAATATGATTCTCTGGGTACTGTGGGGCTCTCCATGCATTCCACTCCCTACTACAGCCAGCCAAGACTCACTCCCATCATGCCTGTGGCCGACCCTGAAGCCTGCCTGGTTGGGGGCTACCCTTCGTGCCCACCTCGCCATGCTGCCATGCCATCGTCACCCCCCAGTTCAAGCCCCACCCTTCATGACCTGTCTCCTGTGGCATTCAGCAAGTGCCTCCCCAACAGCCCCACCCACGCAGCAGCACCACCGGGACCCATGGTAGCACCCCCTTTTCAGGACAACCCTGGCCACCCTAATCTCGCCCACCCATCTTCGCCAGATAACAACTCTTCTCTAGGGTTGCTCCACTCCCAGGGTAGCCCCAACCACCTCAACAGCCCAGGACGCCATAACTACCACCCTATCTATTCCAACAGCAGCCCCTCATCTTCCCCAGCGTCCCACCCTTCCACTCCAGTTGGGCCTGCGGAGAGCCCATTCGTTCAGGCCTACAGCCCCACTCAGGCACAGGCGGCAGTTGGCTCAGCCCAAGCTGGAGGGAGGTCACCAAGCTTGCTACCTGAGGATGCCAGCCCACCTTCGATGGCCATCACCGTCAAGCAGGAGCCCCAGGAACTGGACCAGATGTACCTAGATGACGGTGAGTTCCTGCAGTGTATGCACATTATCCAGAATAATAACTAAATAAAGTTATAAGTTTCTCTTTATGAGATCACTGTCCGTGCCAAAACTGGCTGTTTCCGCAACACATCACATTTATTTAACAGCTTTTTCTTATCTGCAAGCCCTCACGCACGGCCGCACCCTACTGCACCTCAGAGTATTTCCTGAAAAAAACTCTGGCAGCATATTTACGTCAGATTTGTTTAATTTTAGGCCCAGCGGATTTATTTGCTTTTGGTTTTAATGTGCCGGCCAGCTTATGTTGTCCGAATGGCAGCTTGACTTTCAAACGGTAAATTGCCTTGATGGGATTTTGAAACAATCTGTCAAAACATCACAGCACTGGGGTCAGCCGGGGTGCAGCCGAACAAAAACAGTGGCACACGCGTAGCGATCCAAACTGTTGACACAACGACTAATGAAGGAAGCAAAACAATGGGTAGGGGTTTCCTGAGCCGGCCCACCCCCTCCTCATCGCCACCCCCAAATATCTGGGAGGGATGCTGGGACGCAGGAGGCAGAGGCTTTGTTTTCCCGTCATTTCCCCACGGAGTCCACACCATGCAGCTGTCGTCATCAGGGGAGACTGTGGGGTCACCAGTCTCCCTCTAGCAATGAAACCAGTCACACCCAAGAGACCATATGGTTGGGTTTATTGCCTCCTGTGTCCATCGCACATTGTGTCTCTAAGGGCAGCAACCTGTTATCTGTGTTAGCAGAAGCTCCACTTGCTGTTATAATATATATCCATAGAGCACATCCCTGGCATCCAGCCAGCTTGACCTGTTAAAATCTGCCTGCAAACTACTAGAGGTGGTGGAGAGGGGAGGGAGGCGCCACCGCATTGAACTCAGGAATATCACCCTTCCTGTGCACCTTTTGTTCAGTAAACTAATGTTGTTGCATGTGTGTGTATGAGCTCATACGCATTCACTCAACAGCTCTGGGAGTACAACGGTGATAGGCATGAGGGGACCTGGGGAGTTTTGCTGTGGAACTGTAATTGAGTTGAAAAGCAGTTGTCAGCATATCTGTCAGTCTTGATGAGTCCCGTTAGTCGTTATCTCATAAACAGACAATACAGACACAAGAGGGATGTCTGCCCCTTATCAGCTCTATAAACTGATTTGAAACTTTCTCTTTCCTCTAAAAAAACAACAAAAGTAAATAAATCTTTTAGACTTTTTCCTCTTTGAATTCATACAAATCTGGACTGTCTGGAGATGTAAGCTGAATCCTTTCCTGTTGCTTTCAATAATTACGGCAGCAGAAGTGTTCACGTGGGCATTAATTGAATAAAGTAAAACGATAGCTTTATTTTGAGTTTTCTACTACGGTTGCCAAACGGGTCCTTTTACACCAACTGACGTGGCAGTGCTCATCCAAGTAACCTTGTTTCTCTTCCCCGCTACTCCATCCTCTGTCACTTTAGCAAGCTCAGTCTTCCTCCGACCCGGTGGCCAAATGTATTCAGCCTGCGATTATAGCTACATTAGGGACGCACAGGAATGTGTATTGATTGACCAAAGACAGTGAGGCAGCCCCTTGAAAACCTCAGCGTGCTGCCGTTTACATCACCTAACGTCTGTGCAAGCATCTGTGGTAAACTCTTGGAGTCCTGGTAAGTGTGCGGTGGTAACAGCATACTGCCAAGGCATCTGCTGCTCCAAGGCCCGACCCTATCCAAAACCCCTCAAATGAGCCCTGAGCTAAAATAAATACGATCGGAAGGCAGCTCAACCCGGCGTCTCACTCCCCTGTCCGCACGCATTACAGCCGTGTGTTAGCAAGCTCAATTAAAGAAAGAAGACTAGCAGATGACCTCACCGCGGCAGCGGTGATTTAACACCGGCCATGAAGAAAAAGCGTTCCTCCCAAGCAGTTGGGGAGCCCGTGATTTGGAGTCGGCAGGAGCACACTTGATCTTCCCCAAGAGCAGTGCACCTCCCACGCCCTAACACTAAGGCCTCCCGACTCTCATCAGCCAGAGGAAATGTGTCTCTCTGGCTGGGCCCAGGTTTTACACAGCCCCTGAGAAATCACTCAACTTATCAACGGTGAGCTACTGTACCGTAAGGAGCTGGGTTAGCAGGGAGGGGGTCTGAGATGTAAACACCCCTAACTGCCGTAGACACAGTCTCCATTGTAAAGTGCTGAACTCTTCCCTCTGCTGCGATAGAAGCATTACTAACTTCAGTGTGAGCCATGATATGATGGTTCTTTTTTGTTTTTTCTGCAATGAGGTTTTATGGGAAGACTCCAGTTGGCAGTCAGATCACCGTTGGAGCTCCCATTTTCACTCAGTGGCATGTTGGCTCTCACCTGCTTACAGCCTCACTTCTCCTACCTGGAATTAAGGCCAAATATCAGCGTGGTTTAGGGAATGGAGGCGAGAAGAGGCTGAAACACCCTTCTGCTAGGCGACTACGCCTTGTTGCATTGTTGACTCACTGTGGTAAACAACTCATAGTGGGGCTCTTGTAAAAGCAAAGATTTCAGACGTTTCGTACTTACTCGCAGCCCGCTATCTGTACTTTATGAGCTAGAAAAATGGCAGTCAAATGAGATCAGTGGGTACACAAATAGAATTTTATGAATAACTCGGTCTGAAGGATTACGTTTGTCTTGTTAGCTGAACTAATTAAGCCAAAAAAGAAAAAAAGAAAAGAAAGCTTTAATGACATCATGTTTTTGTCATATATTTTAAGGCGCACTTCTGGTGACATCGCTTCCTGTGACATATCTTGGTCTACATATGAAAAACACAGGTTACACAAACCTAAGCTACTATTCTGAGACTTATTTTTCTTGCCTTGGAAACCTGTTCCTGCTGTTTATAGGTATTTTGCTGTGGTTGCGAGTAGAGTAGAGTAGAGCATTGGCGATGTGTTGGCAGTGTGAGGCATTCGGGGCCTATGAGGCTGCTGCCGTGTGTCCTGTCTCATTAGCTGCTGCTGTGATGGGTGATATCATGAAACGTAACTGAATGCAGCACGCAGCAAAGGAACTACTGTTAATCAGAGAGCCAGATTTCTACCACCTGCCTCTCTGGGAAACAGAGGGCCCTTATTCCCTAAAATAAGAAAAACACAGAGTGCAAACCAGCCTCTGCTGATTTCTGACATTTGACATATGTGCTCTGGTTTCCTTGTGTTGCAAGGTAGTTTTTTAGATGGGAGCGTTGGGGTGGGGGTGGGGGATTGCGATTGTTTCCTCCTCAATTCAAAACTAGTGTGCTTTTTACTAACTGAAAACAGAATTGTTGTTGATCCTTCTTTCCTCCTTCCTTCGCTGCCCAACTCCCAACCCCCAGCAACAAAAGCGGAATTCTAGCCTTCCCGAGTATCCCTGTCCACCACCAGTGCTTCTGAAGGCAACTCAAAGCATTCTTCATGGAAACTTTTACACATCCTGGCAAGGTGCCCAGACCCCAGGACTCCGCAAAACCCCTAATGATGATTGAGCGTGCGTCCTCACTGCGCTGAAAACATGCTGAGTCGCTAACATTGGAGTGTGCCGCAAGGCTTCATTGGGGTGGGAGGGGGGCAGAAGACTGCAAGATTTGGGGGTTGAAGTGCCTAATGGGACTCACTAAAGCAGGGCTACTCCTGTATGTTTAGACAGCATTAGTATACTATACGTGCGTGCGTGTTTTTTTCGCTATTAGTTGGTCGACTCGGCTTAGATGTGGAAGCACTGTAAGTGACATCGTGTGCTTTCACACCACTCCACCTCTGACCCGCTGGCCTTTTGGGAGCAGGTCAAGCTTCAGCTAATAGTATACAGAAAGAAAGGCTGTCTTGTGGTTAAGTGCAATGCCTAGAACATAGTCTCCTTCTACACATAGTGATATTGACGGGTACAAGAAAACGCGTGATGGCTTTTTTATTATTTATGGCCACAAAGAGGATGTGGATATTTTACTGTTATTGTTATTGCTGCCTTCTCATATTAGGAATCCCGTTTTCCTGGCAGCCCTTGACGTGGCGAAGTATAAGTAAAAGTTTGGGCTTGCTGCAGAAGTTTTACAGTCATGGGAAAAATTAATAGGTGGGTGCACTCTTGGCTTGGCCTTTAAGACCATCAAAGCTATGGATCAACAACTACACATCTGGGATCAGCAATAGATTAGCTTCAATTTCTTCTCATTAAGATTAAAAACCATTATTTTTACTGTGTGAATTGAGCAGCTTTGGCTCTTATTACCCATTATCAGATACTACAGGCCTTACTAAGCACTTTAGAGAATATGCTGTTCGGTAAATATGAAGATCAACTTGTGGTATGAGCTGTGTAAGTGTAAGTAAATGCTTTGCTTGATCCCATGAGCTTGTTAATTGTAGTTATTTTCATAGCACTGGAAAAGATGATAGCATGCTGGTGATAAAAAATAAAAAATAATACTAATAATACTACTAATAATAATAATCTTTAGACCCTGTCGCAGCACACAGCTGGATACATGAAGTAATTCTCATAAAGCACATAACAGTGTGGTTAAACTTGCTGATTTACAATCTGACGTGTAGGAGTTAAAATGGAGGTACATTAATGGGACCCAGGGAATTCAGTGGTGTCCTTGCTGAAGAGAAATACATTTGCACTTGAGTGGAAGTCCTCTAGATTACCTTAGCTCTGTTTCCTTTTATATCTCTTTTTATGTCTGTCCCGCTGGCTGAACATAAGAGCATGTAGATTCCTGGTTGTGATCATAATATATTTTTTGTAACACATTTTGAAACCCACTCAATTACAGACCCTATTGCCCAAGATTGCTCGCAGTTTAGCAAATGATTGGATCCAAGTGGTTACATATGACAGTGGCAATGGGGTTACCTTATTTGTGCTTTGATTTTAAGCTCTTTGTAAAACCATTGGGAATATTATTATTGTTCTGATAGAAGCAGCAAGATGAATCTGTACGAATTCGATCCATTTATTACCGCAACAGGTTGGCTTTAATGCCTGAGTGTGTGT